TTTGTCTTTTTCCTCTGTTATTTATAAGTTTATGTTCAGACAGGGGTGAAGTAAAACCACTGCGCTGTTATGTTTACAGAGTGAAGCACTCCACTGTGGTATGTTCACGCTGGTGGGTTTCAGTATATTCGTAGGGAGGGCTGAATCCGTAGGGTCATACAGCGCCTGGGGGAATGGGAGACATTCATGATTCGATCCAATGAAGGGAAGCAAACTCAATTCCTTGGACCAAGAGCCTCAATCGGCATTAAGGAACTTCCCTGGAGAAGAGAATTACCGTTGCATATCATGCAAAATGGAAAACTGGTTCAGATCGGAGGTATTATCATTGTTTATTATTATTATTATTATTATTATTATTATTATTATTATTATTATTATTATTATTATTATTAATTTATTATCATTATTATTATTGTTGTTGTTTGTTGTTGCATTCAATGGGAGATAATCAGGTTTTATCTGAGGAAGGCTAGGGTACTTAAAATTTCTTTGATCAAGAGCCTCCCCCCTTTATCAGGCTTTAAATAACATTAGGAATAAATTTAGGGAATATCTAAAATATACATGAAGTATATATAACACCAATAATACTTAAACTTCGCAGATTAGTTTTCTTGATCAAGAAAGATGGATGTGTGGCTACGAACCTGCCTCCTGCTGTGTCTCTACGGTTTCTTCAAGGAACTGAGGCCTTCTGAGCCTTTTCTTACCGAGTACCTGCTGGGACCACAACAGAACCTCACTGAAAACCAAGTATTAAGGCTTCTTCTTCTTCTAGCTACTGGGTTGAGCCCTGGTACTGTCTCTACCACTCATAACATTCCTCTCACAAATCTATTCTCCTATCCCCACTTCCCCGCTCACCCCACAAGGGTCTTATCTCAGCTCTCTTGTCTTGTCTTTTCTTCTTCTTCTTCTTCTTCTTCTTCTTCTTCTTCTTCTTATTATTATTAAATTATTATTATTAATTATTATTATTATTATTATTATTATTATTATTATTATTATTATTATTATTATTATTATTATTATTATTATATTGACACACTGATGATTGGTCCTCTTGCGGCACTCAAACCAAAAATAAAGTCAATTTTATAAAGTATCCCAAAATAACAATTTACACAAGCTGCCTGCAGCATCTTGTACACCCCATAGAACCTGCAGCATCCTGTACTCCCCTGAGAACCTGCGGCATCCTGTACTCCCCTGAGAGCCTGCAGCATCCTGTACACCCCCTGAGAACTTGCAGCATCTTATACAGCCCCTGAGAACCTGCAGTATCCTGTGCACCCTTGAAAACCTACAGCATCTTATACTCCCCCTGAGAACCTGCAGTATCCTGTACACCCCTTGAGACCCTGCAGCATCCTGTACACCCCCTGAGAACCTGCAGCATCTTATACACTTCGTGATAACCTGCAGCATCTTGTGCACCCCTGAGAACCTGCAGCATCCTGTGCACCCTTGAGAACCTGCAACATCCTATGCACTCCCGAAACCCCGCAGCATCCTGTATGTTTTCCCTTTAGTACCTGCAACATCCTGTACATTCATTGAAAATCTGCAGCATACTGTATTCCCCTTGAGTACCTGCAGCATCCTTTATACTCCCTGAGTACCGTCAGTATTCTGTACACCTTGGTTCCTCATCATCCTGTACACTCTAGTACCTGCAACATCTAGAGCATCGTTAAGTACGTTGAACAACTTTCATACTCATTGACTAGCACATTCTATACTGTAAATAAAATCATTATCCACGAGAATAACTGCTTATAATATCTATTTTTTTTATCTTTCCGCTCATCCATTCCACTTTGGGGTTTACTTAATTTTCCCCTCTCCAGTCGTTTTTACATGTTGAATTTGGAACTATATATTTTGATTTATCTTTTAATAAGTTTATTTTGAACATATGCAGACATTGGTATACTCTGTGCATAATGAGACACTAGTTATCTCTTTCTTCTGGCAGGTGTATTATGATGTGTATCCAGTATGGACATATTCCTATTTATCGCTACTGGTTGTAGTCTTCCTGTTGACCGACTTGTTGAGGTATAAGCCAGTCCATCGTTTTCGAGGGTATTGGGTTTTGTTGTTACGTGGAGTCTTCTTCTTTGGGCTCGGGGCGTCGAGGCAATGCAGTTCATGGAGTTCACATATGGCATTGCCACCTCCACGGAAGTAGCATATTATACATATATTTACGCAAAGGTGTCTGCCAAGTTTTATCAAAGAGTAACAAGTTACACCCGAGCTGCCTTACTTACAGGAAGATTCATGTCGGGTGTGTTTGCACAGGTGAGACCAATTTTATGGATGTTTGATCTGTTTGTCAGGCTGTTGTTATTATTTTACACACACACACACACACACACACGCACACGCGGGGCCAGGAGCTAAGACTCGACCCCTGCAACCACAAATAGGTGAGTACACACTTTACGAGAATGCCATAGCATCAAAAGCCAAATCTGACCCAAAGTTGTTATACTATATACAGCCACATTAGGAGGAAAACAATAGTCAAGGACCAGGTGATCAGACTGAGGAAGGAGGGAAGGGAGCTCTTAGGGAGCGACCAGGAAGTATGTGAGGAGCTCAGCTCAAGATTCATGGAGATAGTCACAATGGAGACAGCCTTCCAGCAAATCGAGGGAGTGGGGTGCCTGGAGTTTACCTGGAGAGAGTTCCGGGGGTCAACGCCCCCGCGGCCCGTCTGTGACCAGGCCTCCTGGTGGATCAGAGCCTGATCAACCAGGCTGTTGCTGCTGGCTGCACGCAAACCAACGTACGAGCCACAGCCCGGCTAATCAGGAACTGACTTTAGGTGCTTGTCCAGTGCCAGCTTGAAGACTGCCAGGGGTCTGTTGGTAATCCCCCTTATGTGTGCTGGGAGGCAGTTGAACAGTCTCGGGCCCCTGACACTTATTGTATGGTCTCTTAACGTGCTAGTGACACCCCTGCTTTTCATTGGGGGGATGGTGCATCGTCTACCGAGTCTTTTGCTTTCGTAGTGAGTGATTTTCGTGTGCAAGTTCGGTACTGGACACACTGCACACAACCGAGGAGGAAGTAGAAAAACTTCTAGAACTAGATACCTCGAAGGTGGTGGACCCAGGTAACATCTCTCCGTGGGCCCTGAGAGAGGGAGCAGACGCACTATGTGTGCTACTTACAATTATCTACAATAAATCTGCTGAAACAGGGCAACTGCCTGAGGTGTGGAAGACAGCAAACGTAGTCCCAGTTTTTAAGAAAGGAGACAGACAGGCAGCACTAAACTACAGATCTGTGTCACTGACTTGTATAGTATGTAAAGTTATGGAGGTTATCAGAAGAGTGGTGGAGCACATAGAAAAGAATGGCTGACACATGACAACCAGCACGACTTCAGGGAAGGTAAATCCTGCATTACAAACCTACTGGAGTTTTATGATGAGGTAGCAAATAAGACAGGAGAGAGCAGGATGGGTAGACTGCATCTTCTTGGACTGTTACCTGGAGTTTACCTGGAGAGAGTTCCGGGGGTCAACGCCCCCGCGGCCCGGTCTGTGACCAGGCCTCATGGTGGATCAACCTGATCAACCAGGCTGTTACTGCTGGCTGCATGCAATCCAACGTACGAGCCACAGCCTGGCTGGTCAGGTACCGACTTTAGGTGCTTGTCCAGTGCCTGCTTGAAGACAGCCAGGGGTCTATTGGTAATCCCCCTTATGTATGCTGGGAGGCAGTTGAACAGTCTCGGGCCCCTGACACTTATTGTATTGTCTCTTAACGTGCTAGTGACACCCCTGCTTTTCATTGGGGGATGTTGCATCGTCTGCCGAGTCTTTTGCTTTTGTTGTGAGTGATTTTCGTGTGCAAGTTCGGTACTAGTCCCTCTAGGATTTTCCAGGTGTATATAATCGTGTATCTCTCCCGCCTGCGTAAGAAGGCTTTTATTAC